CTCAGGGCCAGCACCCCTCAGGGCCAGCCCTGCGCTGCTGTCACACTCGTCTGTGGGGCATCAAGCCCCGGGCCAGCCTCACAGCGCTCCGCTTCCTTCTTTAGATCTCGCGGAATTTGTAGCCTCGATGAGTTCTGCATACACCAGTAGAAACTGGCAGTATTAATGAAAGTATCAAGTATTTTATGATCATATCTCGAATAGCATGAATTGATGCTGAGGTGGACTTGTAACTTCTGGTATAAATTTGCAGAGTTCAGTGGCAAGCTATAGTAGCTTAATGTGACCAGTGCAACAGGCATTGTTGCCAGACAGAGATGATCCTTTGTGGCACTTGATTCATGTCATGTTACCAGGGCAGGAATTAAAACCTGAAGTCTCAGACACCATGGCACAGCCCTGTAGCAGATCCCAGGAGAGAAAGATGACCTTGCACCTTAGGGCTGTGCAAGCGCCTGGGCAAGCAGCAGTCAAAAGGTTTGTGGGGTGCTTGCAGGCTTTCTGGTAAACAGGACATTGGTGAGAAGTGAGGATGTGTCACTGTGATTTTGGCAACCTACCCCAAAATTGAGAACCAGAGGGGAAGTAAAAGGATAGGAGGATATGCCATGGCACTGCATTCATCCATCTCTATCTTCCCAAAGCTAGCTTTTGGCTTCAGGGGAAACTGAGGCTCTGCTGGACTGATAACCAGCAGCAAAGGAAAATGACAAGTATCACTGTCTCTCATCAATTTCCCCAGCCTTGCCAAGGAATGGGTGGATGGGCACCATCTCTAACATGGCTCAGCAATGCCCAGCTCTTTCTTCTCTACTTGGAGATATAGTTCAAGCCAGGGCCCAGCTCTGAAATGTGGCATTTCATCTTTGGATGGGGATACATGTAGTCCCCTCAAGTGTAATGGCACAGTCAGAGCACAGCGCCAGCTGACGGACCCCAGCCAGACAGCGAGTAATTGAGCGACGTTGCCAGGCTGGAAAGCATTAATGGCATCAAAAGGGCCTTTGTCCTAGAGATAGTCCCAGGCCAATGGCTCTATCAGGCAATCGTTCTTCAGGCCCTGTGCCAATTGTAAATGAAGCTGGAAAGCTGTATTTCCCAGTTACTGCATGACAGGGCTCGGCTACATGAAAAGGCAAAGCATGGGGGCTGAGGGGTTGCTTGATTGCAAACACAGATGATGGGGCTGTGTTTTACAGACTCTGGTATGAGAGAAAGCAAAAGAGAAGAATGAGCATCCACTGAGCCAGGACAGAGGATTTCTGGGTCCAGCAGGGAACAGTGAACAGCAGCCCCATGTGTTGCAGGTGAAGAATCAGGCTGCTGTTAATGATGTGTCTGGGAATTTTGTGCAGCTTGTTTCAAATCAACAAGCAGTCAGAAATGAATGAAGTACAAAAAGGGTACAAAAAGGCTCAGCCACTTCTTGTAAAATCTGACACAGTTTGTTCCTAACGAAGGAGCAATGAAATCCAAAGTGACAAGTGCTGGCAAGGCAGAACATTATATACTCAGGGCTCCAGCTAATAACATGTAGCATTGTTGGACATTATGCAGCGGGGATATAATATTTATATTGGCCAGATTCAGTTTTAACTAGAGGGAAATTGCTGTTTGAAAGAGGAAAGCTTAGAATTATGAGATTGGAAAGATTGTACATCTTCATGCTGTGTCTGTAATTGCAAGATCTTAATACCACTTGGGTGTATAGAGAAGTATAACTTTTTTTCTGATTTTTTTTTTCTCTTTTCTCTCTTAGTCCTAAAACTGAGTTCCTGTGCCTAAAAAGGTTGGGTTTATAATATCACTAGGGAGAAGACATACTTGTTGATTTAAAAATAAAACATTTTTTTTTTTAATGGGAGGATAAAGAAGGAGGAAAAAGAATCTAAGCTAGTCTAAGCATTGATATCTAGTATTCCACAGATCTTCATTTTCAGTGGAAGGGAATAAAAGCCCTCTGCTGTTACTATGTCTTGACTTGCAAACAGGAGACAGCCCTGGCAGTCTTCAGAAACCACAGAGGAGTGGAAAAGAGCAAAGTAATAGTTTGGGTCAGTATCATTTGATTTAAAGGCTGGCTTGAGCTCTTTCAGGTGTACCGATGCATTCAGTGGGGTACTAGTCCTCAGGCCAAGGTCCAGAGAGCAGCAAGAATTGGTCCCTCAGCTCACAGCTCATGCACAGAATGAGAAATTTGGTGAGCCACCCACTGGGAAAGATGAGGCTGGTCCTGAAATAGAATCTCTCTCTGCAGTAGTACTAATGAGAGTGAGAATATCACAGAAGCACTGTTCCACACCATTCCTCTAGGTATTTGTTATTCATCACTTTGAACTCTAGGTTTATTATGTGTCTGTAGAAAGGTAAAGGATAAGATAAAGAAAATGGCTTTTGTTGGCTTTTCGTTAAAGGAAAATTGTCTTAGGCTTCTCTTTTCCTGTAGAAACAGCAGCGTTGTTTTTTCTCTGTACCAAATCTTACTTCTATCTTTGCTTGTGAAATGATGTTATTGTAGGGAGTCCATGATGATGCTTCAAAGAAACATGAAGAAAAGTGGGATAAGATTGAACCTTTTGAAAAGCAGAAATTGCTTTGAAAACAAGGGTAAAGCTGTCCACTGCATTTTACTGCAGATAAATGTAAAAGGCACTCTGGGAGATGGAAGAAATAAGCAGGACACACAGACAGATTAAGAAAACACTCTCTAGAACACCTATAATGCCTCAGATATAAATAGGGAGTAACAGCAGTTAACTAAGCAAACAAGGGCTTACAGTAAGACACAAAAAAAAAAGGTAAATATCCTGATATATGCTTGTATTTAGGGCCTATAAGCCAAGAGAGACAGTAAGATCTTTCAAATATGGTATTCAGAGGGTGGTGCAGCATTGACGAGGCAGTATTTTTAAGAGGTGTTTCTTTTAGGAAGACTATGGAAAGAAGATCACTATAGCAATGAAAGGGTTAAAACCTGGGAACCACTACAGAATTGTTCAGGATCAGACCCACATGATATTTATTAAGCTTCAGTTTATAGCTGGTTCTATCAGGGAATGTACACACTGGAGGAGCAGGGTGCTAGATAAGGATGAAAAAGAAGCTGAGATGAGATGTTGGAGACAGTCTGAATTCAGTCTGGGGAGCTGCTTCTCTGGATAATGAGCTTGCGTGCAGTTGCACGTGAACCATCTCAGCTGAACAGTTTCTGCTAGCAAAGTTTGCTCATTTAAAGAGAGCTTCACTTTCTCAGTGTTAGTTTCTTTTTTTTTTTTTTCCTATGGCAAATCAAAAGTCATGCAGAAAGCTGAAGAATAGCACTCACTCAAAAAATGAAAAAAAAGAAAGAAAATAAAATAACCTCACAGTTCTTGACAGAGCTTCTAGGTAGTAATTTACAGCCTGCAACCTCTTTTCTGCAAGGATAGGTCCATGGAAAGGAAAATGCACTCCACGTCTTTAAATTTGATGCTGTCAGAACTGTCACCTTTATCTGATGATTGAAAGACTGCAGTGTCACAGCATCACTTCAGACAGCTGGTGTCTAATTGAGAAGGATTCCTCTATTAACTGTGACCCTCCATGACTCCTCTCAGGCAGTGAGAAAAAGGGGTTTGACAAGCTGCCTGTAGCTCACATGTTTCAAAGTAGAAAGATGAAGATCATTTAACATGTGTTGTTTGGGGGAAAAAGACAGTTGAGAGAGGCTGTGGTAACAGTGTCCCTTATAAACAGAAGGAAACTGCTCATTAAACACAGGAGAGAGGCTGTGATGGGAAAATCTCTCTGGGTAGCTTGTTCAGAACCAAATGAGGGCTAAAGGAACATCACTGGCGGCACTTCCTGAGTCCTCCGGAGCTGGAATCCTGGTGCATACAGGTGCTGCTTTAACTGGGGTAACTGAAGGCTTTAATGCAGCATATCCCCTCTCCTCTCTGCAGTACTGTGTCACTAGAGATTTCTTCCTTCCCCGACATTGGGATTGTGCCTTCCTGGGATATGTTCTATATGGCCACTGATGCACTTTAATTAAGGCAGCTGGCATCACTGAATCATACACAGGCAGGACCTATTTAACCAGCACCTGGGGTGTGCAAAAAGGGCATCCTGCATTAAGCTTGTGTGTATTATTTCAAACGTTTTTCACTAATAATATATGATTGAATTGCCTGATTGTTTTCCCAGCTCTTCACCTTTGGTTGGAGAGAAGACATCCGCCCTGGGGAGCCACTTCACACCAGGAAGTTCTGCTTCGACGCCATCTCGCACAGCAGCCCTGTCACACTGTATGACTGTCACGGGATGAAGGGAAACCAGCACTGGAGCTATAGGAAGGTCAGAGTCACTGTGGGCTTCTTGGAGGTTCAGACTGTCTTGAGCCTGTATTCTGTTTAGCACAGGCTTGTGCTTTCCTGTCAAAGCAGTTCTGTTTTAAAATCCACCACATCCTATTCCAATTTAGTTTTGTGGTAATCTCTGTAAACATATTCATGTTCCTTTTGAGCATTCAGATATTTAGGTCAAATTTAAATGAAAATGGATCTGATCCAGCTCAGAGGGTGTCTGTATTGGATCTGTTCCCTGAAAGGTGTTTTACCATTCTGGCACTTCAAGATGCTTGTGTCATTTTAACAGAGGCACTGTTGGAAATATTTTCATCCAGTGTGACAGCAGCAAGACATGCTGCTCATGAGTTAAATGTACTTTACTACATTTTAAAGATTATAAGTGGCAGGAAAATCTCCCCCTGAAAACCAAAACAAACCAACAAACAAAAAAAAAACCCAACAAAAACAAAAACTCACCCAGCATTAAAAGCACTGCTGTAAGCCCAAAGGAGGCAGGAGTTTATAAACTAAAGATAAGCAGCTTAGAAACTATTTTGATCTGCTGAATTTCAGCCCATTTTTATAAATCACTGAAAACAGGAGGTCAAGCTAGAAACTGACAGAGTTTCAGTTGTGGTAAAAAGTCCTGGTAATGCTACTGATTTGTTGTTGTTGCTGTTTTTATGGTTTTTTAATAGTTTATCAGCAAGTTGTCTTGATTAAAGATTTCATTAGTAAACTATTTCATTCAGAATAAGGATTTCTCTGAAGGGCTGAGGATTTCTCTCACACATGCTCCAGTTTCCTTTGACCATTGTGCCTTGCCCTTCACCTTGTTTAAGCTGGGGCCAAAGAAGCAGGAATTGATCTTTGCCAGATAAACCTCAATATTGTTTTATATTTTAAATATATATATAGTACAAAACTAATTCAGAACCATTAAAAACAGGTTTCTCCTGATGCTTTTTTTCTGAGTGCCTACTTATTAGCTTGTGCCTTTTTACCTTATTTATGTTGCAAATCGAGATCCATCATAAGATTTTCCAGAAACGTAATCCCTTTGAAGCTGAGGTATTACTTGTAAGAAAGTTAGAATGTATGGGGCAGATATTTAGAGGATATAAATTGTGGTGGTTGTATTGCTGCCTATCTGACTTTATAATGCCATAATAATCCCTTCTTGCTTCAAAACCCTTACAATTTCTCTTTTTGCCTACCCAAGCTGCAAATCAAAAAGCTTTCATATTCTTAGCACTTCATTGTTGCTCAATATAGCCAGTTCATAAGACAAAATGCAAGTCTGGAGCTACACTCTGTAAGGCTCATCACATTGGATGAGGACAGAATATAGCAGGTACTGAAAAAAATGACATTTGGAAAAAATACACAGCGTAAGTTTTATTAAATTCTCTGCACAGCTTCATTTTTAATTTCCAGGAGGCTGACAGGGCTCATATAAAAATTCTCAGTGCAGGACAGGCATTTCCATCTCAGCAAGAAACACCACAAAGTTTTGTTGTGATGGAAGTACTGACACATTCTTAACCATAACCGCAACCTGACAGCAAGCTGGTCAATTTGCATAAACCTTCAAGTTAAGAAACTGCATTGGAATAATAGAACTATATATATGTGATTTTCTTTAAGCTTAGTTTTAGTTTGCTACACAGTAAGTATTTTTTAATGTTTCCTGTAATCTGTTTCCTCAGGTAAAGGGCAGATTTATATTAGAGATTTCTGGCAGTACAGCTACACCTCCAAAAACCTTACATATGATATAATCCTTTTCCAGCTCTGAAAGCATCTTGACAATAGAACTTCTAGTGTTTTCTCCCCTACAAAACAAAAACTGATCTGTGCTAGAGCCTTTTAACTAGGGAATGATATGCTAGTAAATCTGCATCCTAAATAAATGAGAGCAACAATGTAGTTAAGAAAGAAACTAACTTTCTTAGTTAGTTTCTAGTTTTAAAGGAACTAACTTTCTTAGTTAGTTTCTAGTTTCTTAGTTTTAAAAGGAAACATTTTTTAAAATGTTTCCTTTTAAAAAAAACAGAGAGCTGGTCAGCCACTCTCTTCTGTTCTCTATGCCACTTATAGACACTGTAGCTTCCTAATGGATGGTCATGTATCCATCCTGCCAAAAATTCTTCTCATGCTTTAGGAGAAATGACCTTGCTTGTCAATGTCTTATAAGAAGCCTAGAAACCTAATATGAAGCATTTCTTATCCTGCTCTCATATTATTTCTATAAAACTAGAAGATAAGAGGTTTTTATTCATTTAAAGATGAGTCTCATGATTATTTGCATCTTGAGCCACTGATAAAAAGTTACAGCAGTGAAATGGTTACAAGGTGCTGCAAATGCTATTTGAAGCCAGGCACTATTTTCAGATTCCATATTCTTACAGCATAGAAATCGTAACAACCTGGTTTTGGATCCTGGCGAATAAAAACAGCTTAAATATTTTAGTGGCAAGTAGAATACATTAATATTTTACTTTGGATAAGGAGTGCTCTTCTGGAAAAAATCTACAGCCTACCCCCATTACGTGCACTTTGCTTCTCATTGCAGTGCAGTCTCAGAGCGTGCAAAGCACATTCTTTTCAGATGAATGAAGCCAAAACTGCCACTAATAAACATGTGTCAAAAAACTGTTCTTATTCCCATACTGCTTAAACTACATCTGGGCAGCTATTTGAAAGTCTCATAAGTCTGCAATATTAAGTAATCAATTTTCTTAGGACCAATCTGAAATACTGGTCTACAGCCAAGTATACCTTTGAGAAAACCCTGTAAGAAGCAATGGAGCAGAATAAATCCAAGCAGTACTGCAAACATTGCTGTGGGTTGTATTGTAAATAGAAGAATGTGAGTAATGCCAGGACAAGAAATATTGGCACCGTATTGGAGCAATGTAAGATATTAGATAGATAAATGTAAATAGCCTGTAATTATTAGATATTTGGGAGAATGACTTTAGCTTCCTAAGCTAAAGCTATTTCTTTGACTCTGCTTCCTAAGCATGCCAGAGCCAGTGATGAGCAGTGCCTACAAATTTCTGTTCCTCATAGTGAAGGAATATGCCTCTGGTTTTCAATGTAGCATCGTTCTGGTAGCCTGACAGGTAGTGCACTGATTCTGATAAAGTGTGATTCAGTTTATGTGCCACAGATGCTCTACTGCTATTTGTAGAGCAGAAGTATCCAACAGAGGGCTGATTTAGTAAGTCTCTAAAAAGAAACAATTGTGCAAAATCAATTTCATTATATGATAATTCTACCCTGAGTCTAGTGATTATGCTAGACTGACAGCATCAGAACTGTACTCGGAAGACAGGGGTTTACTCACAGTCTCCTGACAGCTGCAGGGACAAACTGTAAGAGTCAGTTCACTTGCCATGCAGGAGGTGTGTAGATTATTCCCTCAGACAGACAAAGACATATCATAGAGTGGCTTTTATCATATGGACTTCAGTCCTGCTGAAGCTGCACTGGAGCTATCAACTGATTTCAGATAAACTACTACCAGCTGATAATGACTTCCAGTTGCTCTTGACTTTGGCCATAGTTACAGCAGTGACCTATAAGAAATGAAAGGCTCTGTGTGTCATTGCCAACCCCCCTGAACTGTCAAGACCAATTATCCGATGGAGGAGTTTCTCCTTCTGCAAATAATCTTCAGGCTTGCCTTCACGCAGAAGGAAAAAAAATATTCTGCTGTTTTCAGCTGTTAGAAATGTCTCCACAAGAGTGCTTGTGGTTTCTCAACATTGGTGTAAAGAGAAATTGAGGTGATAAATTAATAGGCCTTTATATATTGCTAAGTCAGCCAGAAGTTTTTCCAGAGTGGTAACTCTGTCCCTATTCTTAAAAGACACTCTTCTATCCTAATAACCAGACTCTGTAAATAAAAGCAGCAATAATGCTTCGCTCAAAAATTGCCTGCCTGTGATATTTCTGTAAGAAAGACTGCCAGCTCTCTGGAACGGCTTGAGTGTTTTTCATAGCAAGTTTTTTGTGCTGAAGTTGTTTCCTTTCTTCTTGTACCAGCTATCTTATTAAAACTTCTAGCATTCCAACTTTGACTTCCTAATACATTGGCTGGCCCTTATGCCCAGCTATACTGCAAGAAAAACCATATGTCCCCTTCCTGAAGGTCCCATATCAGGCAGGTTGGCCATGGCACAGTCACTGTGTCCTGATTTTGGACAGCGCCACTGCATCAAGCTCTCGTTATATAGGAGGAGTTGGCAAGGTGCAGGTGGATGCCTGCACCTCCCCCTGGGGTGCCTGGCAGTTCTTGCAGGCCCACCTCATCCTAGTAGGGACACTGTAGTCTTTTGTACACAGTACAGCTACCCCCTTCTTGCAAGCTGAAGTGTCCTGCCTGCTCTCCTTGTAGAACATGAGAGAGAGGCCTCTACCCGTTTGATTTGGTCCTGTCAGCTTTGATGGCATGCCTCTGAATTTCAGACTGCTGGGGGAGTGTGTGTCATCCACTGCTTTTGGGGAAAGGCCAGTGCTGAAAGTAAAACAGTGTGAAAGGCAGATGTAACACCATCCCCCTCAGCCAGAGCACAAGGTACTTTTGACTTGGTTCTTTGTTGCATATATTAATTTTTAAAAGAGGCATTGTACTTTACCATTTTTTCACAAACCACAAATCAGTGAATTTAATCTTTCATAAATGAAAAAGAAAACCAATTTTTCAAAGTGGTTTTAAATAGCTGCTGTTTCTGTTTGTTGTTGTACTTTTTGTTGTTGGTGGTTTTTTTTGAATGTGCAGTATTTTTAAAGATAAGTTTCTATGATTGTTGCTCAGCACCCAGAGTACTTGTGTCAGTTTTTAATCAATTGCAATTTGACAAGTAGATTTTTTTCTTATCACAAACTGGGCAAGCAGGCACATCCTGGATTAGTATTAAACATATATAAATAGTGTCAGGGCAATCATTGGCATGGAGGGGAAAAGCCTGAATGTGGTTTACCAAGAGTAATCTGAAATTTATTTCAACAGATGCAGTATAGTCCCTGGAAACTTGCAAACCATCTAATGACTCCCACATCTGTCTTTCTAAAAACACTTGCCTGTATCAACTAAGTATATTGAAACTTCCCAACTCACCACCTGCTCAACTGACTGCTTTCACGAAGATTCACATCAGGTTACTTACTATTCACTCCAGTTTTGTGAAGTAAAATTAATAAAACTAATCATCGTAAATATGCTTTTTTAAGCAACTTAATCCATGCCTGCCCTCAAAAAATCTCCATATGGAGCTAAATCAGTGTTAGAATTTCCATCTTATTGGGAGAGAGAGCGTATTTCAGTGGCTGGTTTTAGCAAGGCCACAGGCATTGAATGGGATGAGAACATCAATCCTGTGTCCATCTGTCCACCACTTCAGTTAATAATTCATTTTTAAAGTTTTCACCAAGTTGAAGATTTTAAAGCTCCCCCTGCCAAGAAACACAACCCTGTCAAGAGCAAGATTTCTCTAAAAGAGCCCCAAACAAATCCATTTTTCAGGTTCAGACCTTTAAATGGGCTTCAAGCAAATACGTGGAATGCAGAGATGTTAAAAGACATTCTATTTTTTCATTATATTATGCAGTTGTTAGTCAAAGACCAGAAGATATCTCCCTCTTTCTTGAATCCCCATTTTCATAAAGGATAATAGCCCAAGGGAAGAAAATTCCATTCTCTACAGCTTTCTAATAATAGCTCTTGTTATTACACAAGGTTACTGCACAGAGATCAAAAAATCATTTCAAACAGGGCTCTCTTAATCCATGTTCTGTAAAATTAGAACACTTCCAATGATTTGGCATTTGCTACTTAATTATATTTTTTTTTTATTCCTGTAGGACAAAACTTTGTTCCATCCGGTAAGCAGCAGCTGCATAGATTGCAACCCAGCTGAGAAGAAGATTTTCATGAACAGATGTGATCCTTTATCTGAAACTCAACAGTGGATTTTTGAACATATTAATATGACTGTTTTAGAAAAATTTAACAGCAAGGCCAGTTCCTAGAAGGAAAAAAAAAAATTGAACACACCTATTTACGTACAGACTGCAGACTATATTTTTGCCAGCATCTGGGTCAAAGGAGTCAGGAATTAAATTTCCTAGATTCAGGAAATCTGTTCTGAGGATTAAGAAAATGCCACAGCAAGAGCCAGCAGGCTGTCCTTGTGGATATACAGTATCTGGACAACTTGGCCAAGAGCCTTACCGGATGCTGCTGAGAACTTCAGGCTGAAAATTCCCTTGCTGGTCAAGGGAAAAACTTTGTTTAAAAACTGTTTAAAAGTACTCCAAGTTAATAAAGTAAAACAAAACTCTAGAGTTTCTCAGGTCAAATCCTGCTGTAGTGAGTAGCTCGGAGCAGATGCTATGATTTGGGATGGGTTTATGGTGTGCATGACGCCAACAGGAACCTGAAGAAATCCCAGGTTTTAGAATTAAACATGCTGGTAGAAGAATAATGATGTCCCAGCACTGCCTAGACAAGATATATGCTCTGTTGACATTCTCTTAATAAAAGGTTGGGTTAAGCAGGTTTAACCCTCAGAACTGCTGCAATTAATTTTAAATACCTCCCTTTTACATTCCATTCATTACCAAAATAGGAATGGTCGAAATCTTAGGGTCTAGAATTACACTGTAGTGAAGCATGAAATGAACTGTACGGTTTTTCCCTCACATTTTCCCCCTTCAGGAAAAATAAAGCAAAGCAATCAAATTTCTATATATGATATATTTAGCAATTGTGATTCAAATCCCATTGTCACACAAGGTGAGATTTTTTTTTTTAGTGACAAATGTAACAGCAGCGACTGCAGCATAATGGAAGGCTTGTGGACTATCTGTCTTTTTTACAAGTAGAATCTTTACCAACATATAAATTAAAATGAAAATAGGCTGGGGAAAGAATCAGGAGGAGAGTGGGAAATAATTGCATACTGCATGCTGAACTAGGTTAGTCAAATTAATACTGGTATGCTGCCATCCTAAGAGCATGTTGACTCCCTGCAGTGCAGCTTAAAAGATCTTGCAGTGCTCCTGACACAGAGGAGTGGAGAGAAAAATTGACAGGAAATCAGTTGGGTGGTTTTGGAGTTTTTTTAAGTCTGTGCTGGAAATCATGTGAACTTTCCACAGTGAGCGAGTGAATGGTATTGTACATGTCATGAGGGAGGAAACAAGAAGTGCAAGTCACACATTACAATATTTTGGTACTTTAGGCACAGGCACTATTCAGGGTAACACAGACTTCCATCACACTGATGATTATGACGGGTCCCTCAAACCTATCACGCTGTTGGAGAGAGAGGCCTCTAAAACACTTTAGGAAGGGTGTCAGTGGTTCTCAGTTCATGCTGATGTGTGGAATGTGACTGATAACTTTGAGACTGTTCAAGGTAAGAGTGAGTATAAATTTATATCAAGTGAATATGTGGCTTTTGCTTGAAAGATGAATTTACAAATGAAAGCACTATAAATGAAGATAGATGACATCCTCTGTGCTGTAACTCCTTTCAGGTTCCAAAAATAACATTTATAATTAAGTTGCTTGTTTTGATTGCTGGCGAGGTGGCTGACTAACCAAAATACTGGTGTGCAATCTATCCTGTTTTAAGGGAGTGCAGTGACTGTGTTTTGTTTATTTCTCCTTAAGCTGTGTTTATGCACAAAGAGCATTGATTTCATCCAGAGGACGGTTCTAGTACCAGTGTGCTATTTTATGGCAGCATATTGTAGTTGCAGGTCATATGAAAGTTTTAAGAGGGAATGAGGTCCTGTAGCATTCAGGATGTGTGCACTGGGGAAATTGTGAGATTTCCAATATATTAAGCAATTGCTGCAAGTTATTGAAGAGATCTTTCAAATAATTTAAAGGGATGTGTCCACAGAGTTGTCGTTTAGTGATTTTAGAATAAGTGAGTTTGTTTAGGTATTGTTTAAATTTAATTTGAAGATATGGTGTGCTCAGGAACAGAAGAAGTAAGGTTCTGGTATGAGGATACTTCAGGTTTGTTTATCTGTCAGTACACAGAACCAGCCCAGCCACTGCAAACTCTCAGCTTTCCCAGATGTGGTGCTCACAGCATCATTTATTTGCAGCCTTATCATGAGGAAAGAGGGCTTGGGAAAAGAAGAAAATGGCTGCCTCAAATATAAATGCAGCCCTCAAGGTGCTGATTGTAACTGGCCCCAAACTGTCAGTCCTGGAAGCAGCACTGTATGCCCAGAATAGAGAGGCAAAGGAGGATTGCTAAAGCAGAACAGATTGGTAGGGTTATATCGTTCAGTGTCTGACTGCATCTCAGTGGTCTGATTTTGAGATGTCTGATGGGAACAAGGCTAGTTCAGGATGGATCCTTACTCTGTCTCAGCTCTTAGGGCAAAGAAAATCTATGCCTTTTACAGGCCTTGCTGAGTCATATTGCACAGCACCTTACACTGCCAAAGGAAGCCTTCCACTTACTTGTAGCTGATCACAAATAGTAAACTCTAGCAGTTTTTGTCAAAAAGCAGTCTATATCACTGCTACTCAGATATTGTGGGGAAAGAAAACAGTCCTTGCACAGGATTCCTTCAGCAAAAGTTTTCTCAATAATAAATGATCATCGCTACCTTTCAGTTCAAGTCTGTCTTGGGTGTTCTCCAAAGGTTTCCACTGATAAGAGTATTTCATTACTAATTTACCATTCAGAATTTCTCTTATTCTTCCTGCAAGCATATCTTTTCCAGCCAATAAACTTATGAACAATTTGATAGCTTGGAGAGATGTATCTTCTTCTGAAAATTCTCCAGGAGCATTTAATTCTGACACATTTTTTCAAAAGACTATGAAATTTCTTCACAGATTTTTTTTTTTAATACCAGGTAGTCCTGAACATATTTGAAATGTAGTGCACGGGTGGAATTAAGTAATGTGGGCTAATCATTTCAGTGGAGCTATACTGATTTCCCCAATTAATGACTTGTTCAGTTTTTTTCAATTTATTATTTTATGGCTTTAATCAAGATGTCTGAAAAGAAAATCTTTGTATCTTTAAGAAAGCTCGTCACTATCTACCCTAAATGTTTTCCATTTAAGGCTAACTGGCCTTTTTTTTGTGGCCAGCAAAGTACTATAACTGGAGAGAGCATCTGGAGAAACTGAAGTAAACTCCAAGTGCAACTGAAACTCCAAAATAATATCTCTTTTCCTGCATATATTCCAGAATCTGAGCTAAACAGAGGCCCTGGGGGACGACAGGGCTCAAAGGAGAGGGGAGGAGCTGGGAAACAAAGCCTTTCATGTGTGGGAGAGTAGCCTTGTTACAGAGACGTGACAAGATTTCACTTTCATTGGCCACAGTGTTATTTCAGAAAAATGAGATTGCTTTAGAACAAATGTTTCTGCAGCAGTATGGATATTTTAATGATATAATGCATTATTTCTGAGTGTGATCCATTTATGAATAAATGGTCTCTAGCTGCTGAAATAAGTCTGCCTCATGATAAAGATAGACTTAGCTTGAAAGGAAGCTGGCAAGCACTTAAGAACCTTTGATTACGGGCAATTTACCAGGCATCAATGTCTCCAGTGACCTTAGGGAAATCTTATGCCACATAGAAGAAACGTGTACAAATAGCTTGACCAAATTGATTAGATAGGTGGCACTTCTGCAGGAATGGATGTTACCTTTGTTTTAAAAAAAAGTCATAATCACAATTCATTTGCATTTTTACTGATAACTTCTGCAAGGGACTAGGTTAGGGAGACTCTTTTAGCCTACCTGGATGGATTGGAGATGGAGCATTTTAGGAAGGCAGTACTGACAAGCTTTCAGTATGGCTGACACCAGGGGTGCATCCATTTGCTATTTTAAAGAGCATCTGTAATGCTGATAAGCCAGTGCATTTCAAGAGAACACAGCATATATGGTTTTATTAATGGTTTTATTTTTCTTTTTAATACATCAAGATTCATTAGGGAAATAATTTCAAAGCCCTTGGAAACAACACAAGGTGATCAGGAGTAACGTTTTTATAGCTGGTACTGGTATTATAATGTTCATTTATTCCTTTGTTTAACGCCCTCCCAAATATGTTCCATATTCTCTTAAAAAAAAAAAAAAAAGCACAGGGATCCAAGAGTACTTTTACATAAAATTTTCAGGATCTTGCACTTTCTGAAAGTTTTGAAAAGCCTTTAGAAATTAGGAAATGTAAACCAAAAGGCAACATAAAAACCCAAAGAAAAATTATTAGTCCAATTATGTGTAGTGTACCAAGAGACTTTGCTAAATGTTTGCTAAGATAGTATCTTTTGACTGGAAAATTTTAGATGAATAAGTAATAGAGTTATTAAATCTTTAGTGTGTAGTGCTTTCTATTTAAGATTTGTAATTTTAAAAATGTAGTGAATTTGTGTGGTTAGTTGCTGACAGTTTTGGTTTTTTAAACCACATGTAATACACAAATCTGTTCTTAGGTCTCCTGAAATATTTCTCTCCTCATACTTCCTTGTTATAATTCTGAATTATGCTGGATTTATACACTGGATTTAAGAAAATCTGAACATATGAAAAAATCTCTAAAAGGTAAGAAACATATGTAAAAACAAATAATGAGAAAGTTTAGCTAGAGAAATTCAGAGAAATGCATCACATTTCCAAAGCTTGAGCAGCATTCAGGAAATACATTTGCTTGTGAAGTTGTTTTCTGTTCTTTCAGTGTATCAGTAACATCAATGGTACTGCTCCTGGGACAGGACTTCTGAAACTGGTGTTACTAGCATTTGTTACTATCATCACGGTGCCAGAGGAGAAAAAATCTAGGAAGAGCTTCTGAAAAAATTGCATTCAAACGTTGCAATCTGGTATGCCTTGAGATTTTCCTTGTTTCTAGGATTTGTTATCTTAGTATTTTTTTCTTTTTTGCAGAACCTGGCAGTGCAGTAGGTGCTTCAGTGGGCCCTATGAAAACAATGCAGACAACAGGGGAGCAAAGAGGACATGGGTTAAAACAATAATAATTTGTGTTTATCTAAATGTGTGTTTACCACAGCACTGTCCAGTAGGTTAATTATACACAAAGAGAAATGTGTGTATTTTGTGCAACCACTTTGGTTGGTGCTTCAGGGAATAGATGAATGAGAAGGAGCCTTGCAAAATGGTCCAGCAGAAAAGCTTGTACTCAGTAAAAGATGCAGGAAAATTCAGAATGATCCATTTCAGAGAAGCAAATGGATAAGACATTGAAATATATGTATAATGGACGGTGTACAGGATATGAGGGGAGCTGCAGTGAGGCAAGTCTGGTGAGTGGTACTATCTTAAAGATACTAAGACATTGGAAAGGAAAACTTGGTTCTCATTAACCTTAGTCCTCATTAATCTTAGCAGGATCCCTAACAGTGTGAAAGTAGTCATTGATTTAATTAAATTAATCCTTGATCTCCCCACTAAATGACTCAACTTGGAAGGAACCACAGTCCAAGCAAATTTCTGCTGATCACTCTGGAGCATCTAATCAGCAAAAGATAGCACTAGGCACAGTTTAGTCAAAAACCAACTGGCACCAGAACTAAAACAATATTATCGACCCAAAAGATCTGTAGGCCTCTGGCATCCCTCTGTGAAAAAAAGATTTCAGTTGCCTGAAGGAGTGATTGAAGGTAATGATCCTAGATTAAGAAGATCAAGAATTGTGAGCTTTCAAGGAGGTGAAAGGCCAAATGGTGAGATTAGGAGATGGCAGTTTAATTGAGAGAGGAAGGAGGAAATAGATGGTGAAAGGGAAAAAGGTTTAATTCTGTATGTGAAGGAAGTATGACCTACAAGGGTCAGCCACTGATAATTTTGGATACCTCTTCATAACAGGGCTTACATTTTTACTTCCATCATAAATATTTGGGAACTGAGAGGCAATCAAGCCCTTTTGCAAGGACCTAAATTTAGAATAAGGAGAACTTCCTAATCTGAAATGTATTGATTGTGAAATACATGATCACAAAAGAGAAAAGCTTTGATGGATGCTGAGTTTGTTCTGAGTTTTCCACTAAAGGTGTGTGTGTGTGTGTTCCTGAGGCTACTTTTTAGATAGTATGTAGAAGCAGAATATTATGGTCCATTTTTTTACCTCAGTTTAATATTTCTCTCTATCTCAGGCTTTTTTGAAAGAAGAAAAATATTTATCTAAATTTTCCTAGGAAATGTCAACTTGGATTAGTGTGAAGTAGCTCTGCCTACTCCCTTTGCAGATCAAGATAACAAGTGTTTCTCTTTGGACATCGCATACAGCTCTTAAAGAATGTTGTATCTCTGCCTTCATGGCTCCTTGCAGCATTCGCCTCTTTTATGCATTTCAGTTTTTGTATGAATTTTTTTTCCTATTTTGTGTTTCATCCCTTCTGCTGACTTGCTATCTGCTAGAATCCTGGTCCTCTTTCTTCCCACCTTTCTGGTCTGTGCCAAAGGTGTTTCTTCTGTTGCAGATCCCTTCCTCAAGATAAGAGTGACTAAAGCTACTTTGATCTTGACTTGGCAGAGCCTCAAGCCCTTTCACCTTGGGGTACCTGGCTTGTTCTAGCAGAGGGCTGGAGAGGAAAAAGGCACCTGAGGAGAAGTTCTGTCATTATGGACCAGTCTCACTACAGATTTTATCTGTGGAAGAGTTATAGCTCATAGCACAGACAGACAAACATCTTCGAGGGAAAAGAAATTGCTCTGGTGATCTACTTTTCATACATTTTCAAAATTCAGTGTTGCCCAGAGAGGGGAGGATGTAAGAGCAGGTAGCATCTTATTCAGTGGATATACTTTGTACAAATGTTTAGAACCAGCTGAATTCTTGACTTCAAGTTTTTAACTTTTGATTATCCCTGTTGAGCTAATACGGATACAAGAAACTGAGTAGAATTATTTTTTTAACTGTTTTTTTTTTTTTTTTAATAAACCGCAAAGGGGTTATGACAACTTTAACTGAAGGCATTATTCCAAATCTAAGTGGATGTGTAATCTGTAACGAGTGCATGATAGAGGTTAACCTCTAGTCCAGCTGCAGAGAGTCAGAGGGGCCTTATTTACAAAAAGAGAGAGATTGTCCAATGTGCAGCAGCCTTTTGCTTACAGCTGTACAGGACTTTAGTTTATTCCTCAGAATGTCAGGAAAATCAATATCCGTAATGATTCCCATTGTCAAAGTAACAGCTGCAGAGATGGCAGTAAAACATCACCTTTTCCTTCCCACTAGAAGAGAATCCTTTCACTGGTGTCCTCTATGTCTTTATGCACCACCAGGGTTTATTTGCAACCAGAACATGTGGAATAAAGTTATACCCTGCCCTTTCACTACACAAGTTCCTAGGAAACCAGAGTACCAGTATAAAGGCTGTATAATTAACTGTCCAAAGGATTTTCAGCCAAGAAATGGGGGTTTCATACAAAAGAAAAATAAGACCCCCTAAATGGACATGATCTGTCCTCACAGCCCAGAAAGTCAAACATGCCCACCAAAAGCAGCATGGTCAGCAGGGCAAGGGAGGGGATTCTGCCCCTCTGCTCCGGTGAGACTCCACCTGCAGTGCTGCATCCAGCCCTGGAGACCCAGGAAGGACATGGACCTGTTTGAGCAAGTGCAGAGCAGGGTCATCAAGTTAATTAGAGGGATGGACCATCTCTCCTGTGAGGAAGGGCTGAGAGAATTGGGATTGTCCCGCCTGGAAAAGAGAGAGCTAAATTTTTTACTTTGAGGGTAGTGGGTACTGGAATCGGTTGCCCAGAGAAGTTGTGGTTGCCCCAACCCTGAAAATGTTGAAGGCCAGGTTGAGTGAGGCTTCAAACAACCTGGTCTAATTGAAGGTGTCCCTGCCCACAGCAGGGGAGTTGGAATGAGATGATCTTTGAGGTTCCTTCCAACCCAAACTACTCTATGATTCTAAAGTTTGTTTTCCTTTATTCCTGTCCTATCAGCCTCCAAATTGCAGTTACTGATCTACATCAAAACAACCTTGGTAATCTACACCTGGAAGGATAGTGATGCGTCAGGTCTCTGCTGCCAGTTTTTCATACAAATCTGCAGCACGGCTATATAAACCTTTTCTTTGGAGTTAGAGTTTTCTGCACAGTTGTTATCCTAGCAAGGGATACATTCCTTCCAACTTTGGCCTCACCAGCAGTTTTCCACCTCAAACTCTGCTGGTTGATATTGCCCAGCTCTCCAGGTAACGTGGCTCATTGCACATCTCTCAACACCTCACAGCAGTCCAGTCCACACATATACACACACACACACAGAGTTAACAAGTGCTAGGTATCAAAACAGAAATGTATGGTCCCTTCTGAGCCTCTGAGATGCTTCTAATTATCAACTAGTCTTTCTGATGGTCAGAGTGTTTTCCAGGCATCTCTGTGAATAAACACACTTTCCTGCAGGTATCCTGCAAAATATCCATTTCTCTCACTTTTCTGAGAGTCTGGAATTACAGCCTTCACTTGCTGTTAAACAACATTCAGGACAAAACATTTCCTGGCAATTCAACTATTATAAACTAAATATAAAGGGCCAAGAAGAACTGGAGACAACTTTGTGTAACCACTGACTAATGTCCCAGTAGGCAAGACAGACAGAAATGAGCTGGGCTGATAGGCAGCTAGCTATAGTAGAGATCAATTAAAGTAAGATGGAGTTGTCTAATTTTCGTGAAACAAGATCAAAATATTTGATTGTTGTGATTTAGGACAAATATAGCTCTCTAAAAAATGGGGGAAATATTTTCAGATGTGTGCATTTGAAGTATTATACAATAGACTACAATTAGTAATATATATTATAATAAGTAAAATGAAAACATACACTTCTGTGCTGACTAGTCTGAGATAGTTGGCTTAGATGTTATTAAACAACAGCTGTAGAAACTGACCAACTTTTATGCATTAAAATAATGTTGTCAGGACATGCTTAAAGGATTTACAGAGAGCCTGTAAGTTTCTGGACTGTAATTAAGAACCTGAACTATGGAATAAAAATTGTACACCTGTTCTATTTTATATTTGGATGTATTACATTGCAGGATACAAAGCAAAAGATTGCTGAAGAGCAGTTTCAAGAAAATTACCATGATCTGAATGAATAAATACCTCTCAGAAGCTACAGCATAAATTTTTCAGTTTGTTGTACATCTGCTGCTGCTAAAACAAGCTGCTCTGTTGGGTGGGTGAAGAACCGGACAAGCCCAGCCAGCTGCAGGGCTGCCCAGGGACATATTGCTGCTCCCATTCCTGCAACACTGGCCATGCCAACTCTGTAATATCAGCACAAAGAGAAAACAAAGTCATCTCCTTTAACAACGAGCACTGTTAGCTCTGGCAATACTGTAAATCATGTCTTGAAATGCCACCTAAATAAGAGAAATAAATAAGTGAGGAGAAAACAGTTGTATATACATAATAGCCCTCAAGTGACAAGTAAGGAAGCATTGAAAAGGTTTTTGAGGACTTGATTCCAGTAAAAAGTCATGTAAATCAAGATTTATTTGTCCCACTTGCACAACAAAAAAAAACTACCAACAAAGAACAACAAAAGAATCCCTAGAAATTCCAAGCACCACTAGTCCTTGTACCTACAACTGATAAGACATAAAATAAAATACATAATCTTCATAAGGAGGATTAACTGCAAAAGTTTGAGTCATATAGAAAACAGTATTAGTCAATCATCTTCAAAGACTAAAGAAGAAATAGTTGATTATTACATATTATTTATCTTTAAAGGAATTATCTTTTTTTTTTTATTTTGCATCTCTTTATGTCATATAACTTAATTTTACGCATACCGATAAACTTCCGTTTTTCAGTGCTGTACATCTATCCTAAAACCTTCTATTTGAAAATCATTGATTAAATCCATCCCTGACATCTACTGCATGTGTCAGAGTTGTGATAAGTGGACACAATCTAATTTTTACTTGTTTCTGAGGGAGCAGTTAAAGTGAACATTGCTTCCAATGACCTCTAAACATCAAAACTAGCAAAACTAAGAGAACTATAAACATTCACTGAAAATGTGACTCCTTCTTCTCTAGAGAGCTTAAAGGATACTGTAGTCAGATGCAAACTAAAGACAGCCCAATCAGGGGAAAAAATTGTAATTTTCTACCTTACCTTTCCACTTAAACTGTTTGGGAATAATTTCTTACAGGCAGTTCTATTGAACAAACTATTGAAGATATTTGGTAAACATCTTCCCATTGAAACAGTGATTATAACAACAAAACAAATCCTAAATCAGGGGGCTTTGACAAATAACAAAAACTTCCATCAAGTTCCTAAAGAGACTGGAGTCATTAACATTACAGGCACAACCCTTGGCAAGAGAACAACTAGGAACAAAGAAGAATTATTACTAAGAGAACAATAAAGTGGTTTAGATACATCAAGATCAATTAGGCATTAGTTTTAATATAGCCTAAAGTTAAAAGCTGTAAAACAACAGAGAATTTTCCTATTTGCATCATTTAAAGTTCACAGCCCAAGGAAAATAGCATGTATAAAGAAACTAGAGCGCCTTCTCTGAATTGTGTGTCAATTATCTAATTACCTTTGATAACATCAGGTGCAAACCTTCAAGGAAAAAGCTTTAAAGATCTCTTGCAGGTATGGGTGTATTAGGAGAGTAATAAGACTTGTTGCAGGGACAAGAGAAAGGAGGAGGAACTGCATCTTGAGAGACAAGAGTTAGTGGAGCATGTTTATCAACTCCAAATGCAGCTTCTCAGCTTAGGAAGAGAGACAGGGAGACTGGTTTCTGCTTTGACTCTCACTTCGAGGCTGAGATGCTGTCATGTGTTCCTGCTAGTCAAGAAGGAGAGAATCCAAGCCTGGCTCCTACCTCCTGGCCTCCCTCCTTCCTCTGCAGTGTCTGTGGATGAGGAAGAGTGAGAGCACTTTTTGATCCTGTTGTCTGGGCAGCTCCTTGCAGAGGCAGCAGGGCTCTCTGACTGAGAAGGGCAGGGACAAGATCTCCGTCTACAGACACAGCTCTGCCTTAGTGCTTGCATAGGGCAGCTGCCCTTGAACTCCCATCAGGAAAAGCCTGGCACCACCAGCTTGGGCAGTAGCTCTGAGCATTAGCTGCTCAGTGGTGGTGCTTACATCCCTGCTTCTCTGACTGGTCATTCCCTGCACCAGTTGGAGGAGTGCTGCCTGTCTGCACTATGGGAATTGCTTTGAGGTCTGGACAACATGCTGCCCCAGCCAGCTGGGAAGATGTGTCTGCACTCCTGGTCAGCACTACTATCTGCCCTCTGATTTTTGAAGGGAAATTATAGTGACTTCTTCAGCTGGAAGCCTTGGTGAGTAGATGCAGAAGACGGTGTCTGGTGGCATGTTTGTATTTGGATGATTGCTCTAATTAGCTCTTTTTTTTTTTTTCTTTTAATATGGGGGGGGGGGGAAACACAGGGGTTTTTAAGTGTTTTTTTCTTCTTTTTAAGTGATTCTCAAGTGACATTCACCACTGTTTTAATTAAACATGCCTCCTGATTTAGAACTGATAAGCTTCTACTTCAAGGAAATGCCAGGGTAAACTTTTATTTTGGCAGGGAGAAGCAAAACTGATAAGTAGAAGGATAGTGTCTCCTAACAGTCAGAGAAGTGACAAGAGTTCAGAAAGTGCAGTAAGGGGGGACTAACCCCAGTAGTAACACCTGCAGACTAATCCCTCACAGCCCTTTGCCACAGAGGTTGGCTCTGTAGCAACTGCCTGAACTAGAGGAGAAGATGTGCACTTTGTCTGGATTATTTGGTTATTGTCATCTCCTTGGTGCTTCCCAGAACCCTGATGGAGAGCAGGAAACCAGTCATCATGGGCATCCCCCTGAAGTGCCTCCTGAGGCCACCCCAGGAGGGTCCATGCAGGCACCACCAGCACAGGAGACTGCCATCAGGGGCTGGAACTGCCAGGTCCTCTTCAGTCCCACAGAGCAACAGACCATGTCAGGGATTTATATAAAGCTTTTGCAAGTACATGCTCAGGGTTGGGGTTTTTTCAGCTCTTTCACTCGGGGTCTTGTTTGTACCTCCTCTTTAGTGACCAGCTGAGCCTTCTCCATGTTCGTGACAAGAAACCCACATTTGTGGCTCTTTAAGAAGGTTTGACCCTGATTCCTCAAGGACTGGGACACACAACTGACATGAGACCACACCAACCAAAAATCAGGTCAGTGATTAAACTTCTTGATGCTGGCAAGTCAAGTGGCAGTATCAGAAGGGAGTTCATGACGTCATTTGCAGTTGTAGACCTGAGAGTAAGAACTGTGAATTTAACTCTCTCTGAGATTGCAGTTTTTGAGAGGGGAAGGTGGGGAGGCACAGCTTTTCTGTTAAGAAATGTATCTGTTAGTTTAGGAACTGCCATGTCCTAATTTCCAGTAAATGAAAAACAACAGTAAATATCATGTTCTGTGTGACAGCTACTTTAAGTATAGGGAGTATTGCTGAATTTCTGTTCCATGGGAAAAAAATCTTTCTCTTGCATTAGATCTTCACCTGACCCATTACTGAGATAATCTTCAGCCTGTTTACACCTCAAGACTGGAGTTGTGGTAATTCTCACAAGAGTCTTGTCAATGCATATGAGATGAAATTAAGGAAAGTCTAGTCATGAATAAGGCCTATGTTTTCAGTTCCCCTGAGAGCTTCCATCAAGCAAAACTATTTCCCTTCTAAAGCATATGTTTGAAGAAGGGGAACTAAATATATTTTTCTATTATTTGCCTGCTGGAATATTCTTTACTTGGTGTCTGAGCACAGCGGTGACTTATACAAATAGTGCAGCTCATCTTTTAAAAAAAGCATTATTATATCAGTAATAAAGAAAACAATTTGCATTTCAGATTAAGAGGCAGCAGTATATCACAAAATATTTACTCTGCCCAGAAGAGCAGCAGTTTACAGACTATTTAACAGCAATTTGTGTATGCATTTAAAGATTACATCTTTTTTTAAATCAAGGTTTTTATTTGTGTGCTAAGTAGTTTTCTGTAAGTAAAAGGATCTTTGGATTTTTATTCTGTGATAAGCAGTAGTGATTTAGATCTGAGTTTTTATAGCATGTGGCATGTGAGGTGTGTCTATCTTCTTGTGGGTGTTTTTTAGATTTTTTTTAACTAAATCATAGTCTTTATTTGCTTTTCTGGGGAGAACCAATATAAGCTCATAAGTGTTCTATTTTTAAGCAGTGTACAAAACCTAACCTCTTTGTTAGTTTAGTGATCTTACACTATTTGGTGACATTCACCAAAGAAGAATATTTTCACTGAGAATAGATCTTGGTCCCTCTCTTTTCTCTGGTTTTCTTGAAAAAACTCAGAAAACCCAACACCAAAAAACCCAAACATATGATCTAATCAGTTGACCAGAGGGGAAAAAAATAATCAAAAACTACCTCCACAGAGCACCTATTTTTCCAAAGATTATGGAGAAGTGAGGGGAGATATGAGCAGGGAGCATAGAAAGGCTGGGAAGAATGCTGTCAGTGCAAAACGCTGGGGCAGATTCTTGGTCCTTCTGTGTCCTGTGAGCTCAGTGAAGTGGCACAGGGGAATTTTGTACTGCTGTCATTAGAGTGCATCTGGTCACAAAAATGGATTGCAGGCCTCTCTCTAAGCTTTACTGATCATAATGGTGACAGCTGTGTGCAAGGGTCAAATATGAGCTTGCTTGCATGGAGATGTTCCAATCTGCAAAGCCCCAGTGAAAGTTCTGCGGCTCTGCAGAGCAGGGTGGTTTGTGACTCTGACTGTGAACAGCAGCTGCTCATGTGGAGGGGGACAAGAAGTCTGCTAGTTCTTAATTAAATACCATTTACAAGGAGAATGCATATTGGCACTTGGCTTCTCCCCAAAAAGATGGAGCTGCTGTAACTCCCCTTACAGGGTGCATCACCACTCACTGTTTTGAAGCACATATTCTCAAGCCACAGTGAAGTTAAATATAGAAGAGGTCCCTAAGTGGACCTTTTGCATGACAAAATTCACCAAGAAGTAATT